TACAGCCAAAAGCAACAAATGGAAAAGAATTGATTTTATAGAATAAATACTATGCAGAAAATTTCTGATTCTTCCTATGAAGTATTAATGACTACAGGAATTGATCTTTTACTATAAACAATTTGAAAATTAGGCTTAAAAAGAGAAGAATGATGGCAAGACTTTATTCAACAGTGAGCTGGTGATTCTTATTCCTGAGAGAAGGGAAACAAATGCACCAAGCCCTGGAATTAGTTCACCTTACAGACTATAAGTATTTCCAAACTCAAAAGGCAAGGATGGGGCAAATCCCAAACAGAGCTTGGTGGTTTTCCTAAATTCAGACCAGAGATCAGAGTCTGAGTTCGCTAGAATTTGTGAATCCAAACAGTAAAGAGAAGACATTGCACAGAGACTGAGCTCTGAAGATCTGCAAGGGAACTTCTTAAATCGTTTTCTGGATATGGATCTGTCCATGCAAAGAATAAAATTAGAGTAGGCAGGGAAAAGAACCATTGGAAAGAAGCCCAAATAATTCTTGGAAGTGAAATATTTGCTTTCCTACTCACTAAAAGGACTGAGAACATAGTGCTTTTTTTTTCTTTTGTACTGGGGATCGAACTCGGATCCTTGTGCTTGTGCAGTAGGTGGCAAAACCACTGAGCTAAATCCCCGGCCATAGTGCTTTTTCTACTGGCTAAAATGAAGAGACTGCATAATAAGGAGCTATAAGTAGAGTCCATAGATGAGTATAGCTTTAGTGGAGCTAAATTAGTCCAAGACCAAAGACTGCAAAGCACCTACACACACACACAAAAAAAAAGCTAAAAGAAAGCCTCAAATGAATTAAAAGTAATCCAATAATTTAATTACATTTCAGAAGACATTCCAGTTCTGAGGGAATGAAACATCTATCACTAAGCAGCACAAATTTTACATTACCTCATATCTAATAAAAAATTATTGGCCATGGAAAGTTGCAAAAAAATTAACCCATTTGTAATCCCAGCACTCTGGGAGGCTGAGGCAGAAAGAGCACAGTTTCGAGCTTAACTTGGGCAACTTATCAAGACCCTATCTCAAGAAAAAAAGAGGCTAGGGTTGTAGCTTTGTGTGCACAGGCCCTGGGTTCAGTCACCCACACTGCCAAAAAGGAGAAGAAAGAAAGAAGAAAAGAAAAAATGAAGCATTAACAAGGATAAGAATGAAGTAATAGATCTACAAGTATTGTATTTGATAGACTTAGCAAATAATGCCATAAGAGTTACTGTATTATTCTTCACGTTCAACAGTACAGCGGAAAATGAAGGTTAAGAGAAATGGAAGATACAAAAATCCAAGCTAAACTTGGAGAAATAAAAAGTAAAGTGAAAAGCAGAGTAGGCTGAAAGTCATCATTCATGAGTGCAAAATTATGGTACATGCTGCTGAGTACCATGCAAAGGAAAAGCAGGCTTGTGAAACATGATGATTTGGTATCGTGCAACTTCTGGCTCTTCCCCAAAGTCAAAATGACCATGAAAGATAAACTTTTTTATTTTTGGTACCGGGGATCAAACTCCAGTCCTTGCACTTGAGAGGCAGGTAGCAGAACCACTGAGCTAAATTCCCAGCCCAAGATAAACATTTTTAATCAATTCAGAATATCTAGGCAGCCACAACAGTGAACTAAGACATTTATGAAAGAGGACCTGTAGAACTGCCTTATAAAGTGGCAAGAATGATGGGGATAAGTATGTTTGAAGTTAAGAGGAGTGTTTTCAGGGATGTAAATGCCAGTGTGCCTTTTACTGTAATAAATTTTTTAATTTTTTTCTTTTTTTGTACCAGGGGTCAAACTCAGGACCTTGTACTTGCAAGTCAGGTGCAGTGCCAGTGAGCTAAATCCCTGGCCCTTTTTTACCATATTTTTTATCACACCATATATAGTGTTTAAAATATTGAGATCATAGATATCTCTAAAGTATCAAAAGATAAAAATTATCCATTTAGAATTGTACATGCAGCAAAAATATCTTTCAAAAGTGTAGAGGGAAAATGCATTTTTACTCTAAAGGTGGGAGACTACATTAGCAGTAGACTTACTACAAGAAATTTAAAGAAAGTTTTTCAGGCAGTAGGAAAATAGTACTACGTAGAAATGTAATTATAGACCTCCAGAAGTAGTAGATATGTGAGTAAATAGAAAGTATTTTTGTGTTTGTTTATAATATGTATAAAAAATGCTGTTTGTCTATAGTATTCAATGAACAGATAATAAGCAATGGAAATTTAAATTTTAAAAAATCAATTCATTAGCCAGGCATAGAAGAACAACCGTGTAATCTCAGGGCTGCTCTGGGAGGCAGGAAGATTGAGTTAGAGCTCAGTCTTGGCAACTAAGTGACCTAGCAAGGACCTGTCTTAATAAGAATAATAATAAAGGGCTGGGGATGTAGCTTAGTGTAAAGTTTATGGATTCACTGCCTACTAAAACTTAAAACTATTATGTATTACTGAAGAAATTACAAAAGGCCCTCAACAAATGGGATATGCCACATTAAAGAATCAGAAAATTCATTATTGTTACTATGTCACTTCACTTCAAATTGTTTTATATACTTAATTTAGTCTGAATGAAAAAAGTCTTGGCAGCCTTTTTTTAAAGAAAGTAACAAATTTATTGAAAATTTACCTGATGATGCAAAACCTGGATGATGAATAACAATGATATACAAAAGGAGCAGAGCTGGAAGACTTACACCACCTGATTTCAAGACCTGCTGTAAAGCTGTCGTAATTATGACAGTGGTGCTGGTCTGAAGATAAGCATATAAATCAGTCGGTAGACTTGAGAACATATGTAGTCCATTGGTTTAAAGGAAAGGTGCCAAAGTGATCACAATGTAAGAATGTATGAAGCCTATACTTTTCAGGGATCATTTCTATAGCTTGTTACTAGAGGTTTCTCAGATTATGTAGAGTACTGGGGGAAAAAAAATAATGGGATGTAGGAAGATTACTCTTTCTCAAATGAGAAGGGGATTAAGAAATGGAAGGAGAGGGAGAGGTGGGAGGGAACGGGGATGAAAAAAGGAATTAAGATGCGTTATGTACGTGTACCAACTCCATACAAGGAATGTAAACATGTACTCCAAACACGTACTACAAAAAATAATAATAATAATAATGTATGAAGCCAGGCATAGTGGTCCGGGCCTATACTCCCAGCACTCTGCGAGACTGAGATAGGAGAGTTGCAAATCAGAGCCAACCTGAGTAATTTAGCAACTTAGAGAGATCCTGTCTCAAAATTTTAAAAACAGGGCTAGGGATGTAGCTCAGTGCAAAGGCCATATGTTCCATCCCCAGTGCCACCCACACAAGTATAAAACTACCATAATGAAACCTGATATTCTATAAAATTAATATACACTAATAAAAACTTGAGTATTTTCTTTTTCAGCAAATGTCAACTAGAGGGGAAAAATTGAAACTCAGCTTTTTACACATATACAAAAATTAACTCAAAATGGATCCTAGACTAAATATAAATGCTAAAAATATAAAACATCTACAAGAAAATGGTATTATTATGCTGGACACTCTAACATTTTAATGAGCTTAATGCAAATTGTCTCAAAGTTTTTATAAGAAAATTCTAATTTAAAATGTCAAACTCGTAAAAGTGGGGTCAGTATCTAAATGGTAGCAAAGATGATCTCTCGCACAATATTCCATAACTGAAATGAGCATCATTGACCATACATACTTCCTTCAGCAAAGAAAATGTGTGGTAATATTGCTGCCATAGTTATATATAATAAGGTAGTAGCAGTTATTATTTAAATCGCTTTATTTATTATAATCTTGTATCTTTAAGAGTCAAAGTGACTATGGATCTTAATCAGTTTCATTTAGTTTTGTTTTCATTTTTATGAAGGCAAGTATGTATTCTGGAGTGATACTTATATGTATTGTGCATTTATGTATATAGAGTACTTATACATTGGGAATCATTGTGACTTGATCTCTACTAATGTTTTTTAGTTTGGTTGGGTTTTGAGGTTTGGGCGTTTGTTTGTTTTGTTTGTTTTTTGAGGCAGGGTCTTACTATTAATTCAGGTTGGCCTTGAACGCACTGTGTAGCCCAGGGTGGCCTCGAACTCATGGCAGTCCTACTTCAGACTCCCGAGCATTGGGATTACGGGCGTGCACCACCATGTCTGGCTGTTTTTGGTGTTTTGAGACAGGGTCTCGTTCTGTATTTCAGGCTATCCTTAAACTCACTGTGTACTCCAGGCTGGCCTCAAACTTGAGGCAATCCTCCCTCAGCCTCCTGATTGCTGGGATTACGAGCATGTGCCACCACACCTGGCTCCCTACTAAGTTTTTTATAGGTCTGTTATCATTTGTCTTCCATGTACTTTGACCATGTAAATGAATGGGTTTCTTAAGTATTCATCTCCCTCTCCCAATACACATCTGTTCATTTAAAACATGTTATGAAATGTTGACTTAGAGCAATTCTAGCTACTGCTTTCATGTTCCAGCCTGCTTATGCATGATTAATTTATTTTTGTTTTTAATTTTTTGTATCATTTTAGTAACGATGATGTTATATTGATTTCTGTGGAAAGTTCTAATTTGACAACTCCAATTACATCAAATCCAACAGGTATCTTAAATTGATTAGATTATTTATCAAATTGCAGTGCTTAAATAAGTTTTTTTAAATGAAAGATAGAAACTTTAAAATTTTGTCTGTTCTCAAAAATTTTCTGATTTTTGTATGATTAATAATACCTCAGTAAATGGTTCCTTCATGTAATTCACATTTCTTTTTGATCATGTATTTCATCAATTTGTGACCTTTTATTTGGTTTTTGGTTTTTGGGGGGTTTTTTTGGTACTGGGGATCAAACTCGCAACCTTGCGCTTGCGAGGCAGGCTGTGGAACCATTGAGCTAAATCCCTGGCCCTATTTCTTTTATTTTAATTTTAATTTTTTATTGTACCTGTTTGCAGATATTTATCTAGTGACTTTGTAAATCTTAAGAAAATTACTTCCATGTATATTATTTTGAATCATTTTCTGTGGCCTTCTGTTGGTTGTTAGTGGTGCTTTGTTGTTTGTCTTTTTTGGCAAATTGTAGTCTGTGTTGACTTAAAATTTATCTAAATTTTGTTCTTTTTCTTTTGACTTTTAAAAAATATTTTTATTGCCTTTTAGAATTTATGTCTTATACTTTTAAATAAAATTTTAACTTTAGATTTCCAGTGATAAATTTCTTGTCCCTTAAAATAGCTATCTTGTGTGGCCCATAATTTCTGATAGTTTTGCCTCTGTGTATACAAGTACTTAATTGTTTCCACAGTTTTTGAATCAAAAAGCTACAAAAGACAGCATTTACTTAAGGGTTTCTGCTAACTTAGGAAGAGTCACCTCAGCCATCTCAAGCAGTCTGTTTTAAAGATACTGGGAGTGGAGCCAGG